ACCATGATAATTTTTTTAAAAGATTCTTATGGATCTTTTAGTAACAATTTCCTATTTCCTTTGTACTCATCAAGATGACTGTCCAGTGCTTTTTTTCCTGGTGGGCTGGCCCAAACTTTCATTTTCAGTCATTAAAAATCTCAAAAGAATCATTTGGAACTGGTATTCTGGACATAGATGGTATTCTATGGGAAGTCCAACACCACAGCCAGCAAAACCCAGTGCAGTAGAGACCCCTCCGGTGTGTGCTCATCAAATCTGGATGGGAGCAGAACTTCTCAGTACCCTAGAGGATGGCATCCTTCCTTTATTCTTTCCTTTCACATGCATGAGGGTTCTTTGAAGTCAGCTAGTTCAAGTCTCCTCTGCTATTTTTGAAGATGGGGAGTGTGCCTTCAAACTTAAGTATCTATGTCAAAGTTGGGTTCTTTCTTGATTAATCCTTCCCAGACCCAGATGATCATGAATCCTTAGGGACGTTCCTCAGCTACCCAGTGGCAATTGCGTGAAGTTTCTCCTTGGGAGGAGCTGAAAAGAGGGGGCAGAATGTAGAACATTTGAGTGCTTTTCTGACCTCTGCTTATGGGTCTGGGTTACATGTGTGGTGGAGAGGGGAAGATGATGGTGGAAGGGGGATAGAGAGATCAGAGGGATATAGGACCTGAGTTTGAATCTCCAGGACACACATAAAAAGCTGACACAGTTGCAGGTGACTGTAACCCCTAAATTACAATTGCTTGAGAGCAGGAGGAAGGAGGGAAATGTGAGAATATAAGGGGAAGGAGGTGCGAAGGAGGGATTGTGACAGAAGGGGAGGGGACAAGGCAAAAGTGAGGAGGGAAAGAGAAAAGGAGGTGGGAGAAGGGAGTAGTAAAGGACATCTCAAGCCCCCCTGTACCCCACATTAGTATGGAGATGTGTGTGTGTAAGATTATAATCCACACTGGGAAGGGAGGTTGAGGCAGGAGAATTGCAAGTTCAAGGCCCACCTAGGCTACATAGCAAATTCACACCAGCCTAGTGAGACCTGTCACAGTAGGAGAACAACAAATGTAGGCGGTACCGGAAGGCCTGAACTTTCCTGTGTTTACAGCTGGGCCTGACTTTCAGTTTCCTAAAAGGACAATGAGGGAGGCAGCCCATACTAGGCCTGAGCCAGTCCCCACAGTACTCAAGGCAGTGACCAAAAAAGACAGTTCCTGTAATCTCCCTAAAACATACCCTGCATTGTTCAAGTATGTCCCACAAATGGTAAAACTACAATGACAGTTATTTAAAACTGTACTAATGTAGCTACAGCCTGCTTAACCAATCATGTTTGTGATGACCTATCTGTCCCTAGAATCCCCCTAGCTGAACTTAAAAGGGGCTTGTGTGCTCCTTTTGGGGTTGCTGTTTTGTACAAGTGGTAGCCCCACTTGCTGGAATAAATGCTGTTTGTCTTTGCATAGTGTTGGCGTCTGGGGCCTTCCTTCAGTGATTCTTGGACCCAAGATGGAAGAAGAGCACTGGGTCTAGAAAGCTGTTCTCTGGCCTCCACAAGCATCCCGTGGCACACAAGCACCCAGAGTGTCTCTCTGACTCTGTCTTGGTCTCTCTCCCACAATACAAACAACAATATAGGTGTTATTTTACATCTCCCATGAAGCGGGAGTCAAGGCCAAATTTTTCCTCCTCTCTGTGAAATAGATAACCCCGGTGCCACAAAAAGATTAGCTTTCCACGCTGCTTCCCAGACTCTCTGTTCTGTCTCACTGCTGTTTGTTCATGCTCCAGTGTTTACTCGCTTTGCTTTGGACCCTGCACCCGCTATCCCGCAGTGTGTCTTCTGATTTACTTGAGGACTGTTCAGATGATGCAGACTTCATATCTGTACTCATTTTATTATCAGGTTGCCATTTTTCAAAACAAATGAACATAGTAGGATTTTGAACAAGATTATCACCTTGCTGGAAGGAAATTCCACTAAGAAGGTGGTTTCTGCTTTATTGTTTGTTTTTAAGATGGGATTTTGTGGTGTATGCTGTGCCAGCGCAGCCTGGATACCGAGACTGGTTGGGGAGGGTGCTGGGATTGAGACATGAAGGCATGAAGTCTTCTTTTCAGGTGGAAGAACAGCAACCTTTATTTTTCCCCAGCTAAAGCCTTTTATACTGTGAAGCTTCTGCGGAAACCCACCAGCCAGAAAGAACACAAAGGTCCTTGTCAATTATAGACCACAAGGAAGTTCTGCTGTCGGTCAGGGGAGTGAAGGCAGCTAGATCACAACAGGTATAACCTTGGTAGCCTGGAACTCATTTGTAGACACAGGAACTCATTTGTAGACACAGCAAGCCTTGAACTCTCAGAAACCCACCTGCCTCTGAGATTTGCACGACCACACCTATCTATGTGATGAATTGTAATAATAAGACATTTATTGCAGTCTCTAAATTCTCTAAATGTGGTTTATACTTTCTATGGATTGCATTAGAACATCTGTCATTATATTCCTAAGTATTAAAGGCTTAGGGCACACTTCATTGCTACTTTGAATTTTATTTACTAATTATTTGTGCTTACTATACAGAAATACAGGTGGCTTGTCATGCTTATCCCTCAGTCCAGAAACTTGGTTACTGTCACTTAAGAACTGCAATGGTTTTAATTTGTTATATTTCATATTTTTGTGTCTGTCCACATATGCCAGAAGAAGGAACCAGATGTCCTGGAGCTGGAGTTATAAGTGATTGTGAGTGACCAAATGTGGGTCCTCTACATGAGAGGCAAGCCTCCTTAACCAATGAGCCATTCACTCTAGCCCTGGTTTTATATAAGTTTATCTTATTTTTAATTATGTATCTTGTGGGTATGTGTGTGTAAGTGCAGTTTCCCACAGAGGCCAGAAGATTCCCTTGGCGCTGGAGTTACAGGTGGTTGTGAACACCTAATGTAGGTGCTGGGGATTGAACTGGGTCCTCTAGAAAAGAAGTAGATACTCTTTACTGCTGAGCCATCTCTTCAGCCCCTGGTTTTATATCACTTTTGAAAAATTAATTTTTGGGGGGTTTATTTCTTCTATGTGCATTGGTGACTTTTTGTTACCTGCAAGCATGTCTGTCTGTGTGAGGGTGTCAGATCCCCTGGAACTGGAGTAACAGACAGTTCTGAGCTGCCATGTGGCTGGTGGGAATTGAACCCATGTCCTCTGCAAGACTTAACTTAAAATCTTAACTGCTGATCCCTCTCTCTAGCCCTGGGTTTATATCACTTTGCATGCTCTCTCCATATAGAAATGTCACTTGTAATGACACTTGCACTTGTTCCTTTCAGCTGTTGTGTTTGCACATTTCCCTGGCCTGCCACAGTATCAAGAGCTCTAACACTTTGTTGGGTGTTGTGATCTAACTGCCCTCACTCCCCCTGACCAACAGTGGAACTTCCTTGTGATAATTGACAAGGATGTTTGTGTTCTTTCTGGCCGGCAGGTTTCCACAAAAGCAGTAAAGGTATAAAAGGTATAAAAGGCTTTAGCTCAGGCAAAATAAAGGTTGCTGTTCTTCCACCTAAAAAGAAGCCTTCATGTCTCAGTCCCGGCACCCCCCACCTGCACTTGCCTGGCAGTTGGGTAGAGTATTCATTCGTCCTTGAGTTGTTTAAAGATTTTAGGCAGAAAATGCTTGCTATTTTTGAGTGAATTTTGACATTGTCACAGAGTAGGGGTTTTTGTTTGTTTCGTAGACACACTGTATTTTTTATTTATTTGGTTGGTTGGGTTTTTTCAGGCAGGGAGAGGTTTGAGATCATTTCTCTATTCAGTTCTGGTTGTCCTGGAGTCCACTATAAAACTCAGGCTGGTCTCAAACTCATAGAGATCCAATTACGTCTGCCTCCCAAGCGTCGGGATTAAAGGCAGACACCACCATGCCCTGTCTACACTTTATTGTTTATTAATTGTTACGTTGACTGCATCATAATAATGGGTGTCATCCAGATCTCATCCTCATGTGTCACTGCATGTGCTCGTGGTCACCTGGCCATCCCTCTCCCCTCTCCCTTTACCCGCTCTGCTCCTGCACTGAGCCTGCTGCTGCGCCCTGTTGTATATATATAGTTCCAAATCTTGAAAACACAGGCTATTTTGTCTTCTGTTGAAACACTTCAATAGCTTACCACAATTATTTTGTATTCTGAGTTGCTGATCCTTTCAAATAACAAAGAGAATTTGAACTTAAAATGACCAGCTAGTTCCCTGACCTTTCCCTGTGCTTAATGTTGATTGAGGTTCAAGCAGTTTTGCTTTTCTGCATTGAACTGTACCATGACATGCTGCATGGCTTGGTTTTTTTCTTGATAATCTTTATTTAAGGTATTTGTCTCAGGGCCAGCAAGATGGTTCAAGGAGTAAAGGTTCCTTTCACCAAGCCTGATGACCTTATTTCAATCTTTGGTACCCATGTGGTGAAATACACAAGTTGTCCTCTTGACCTTCACCCTTGCACCATGGCACATGCACACGCGCACACACACACACACACACACACACACACACACACACGCACACACACGCACACGCGCGCACACACGCACACACACACACTTTAAAACAGATCTTTGTTTCTGTTCTCAGGAGAGCCTTCCTCGTAGTTGTCCTCTCTTCTAATGAACATCTTGTAGGTTGGCATCACCTTCTGTTGACTTCACAAAATGAGCTAGAAACTTGTCTGCTTTCTTCTGTTTTATGAAATTATTTGTGTAGCACATTTTTTCACCCAAATGTTTAGAAGACTCTGTACCAGAAGCCTCTGGAAACAAAGGTTTCAATTTTTGTCCTGATGAATCTTTCCAGATACCAAAACATTCAGAGTCTCTGTTTCATGGGAATTTTCTTGCATTCTATTTTATCTCCGTTTTAAGCCTAAGTGAAGTTTTTCATAAATTTTTGCTCCTCCCACTTCAGCACTTCTGTTCCCATGGTATATATTCTTTCACTTCATTTTGCTTTGCTTTCGAGTCCGGGTGTCACTCCATAACCTCGACTGACTTCAGTCTTGGAGCAATCCTCCCTCGGGCTCCGAACACTGGGTTCCACGCATCATCCGAGCCACCAGCTTGGGTCCCATCTCTTCTATCTGGTAATTATTCTTTGCTGCTCGTCAGCTGGATGCCATTGCTTCTTTTTTTGTCCCTGGCCTTAGTGAGATCATTTTTGAAAGGTCGTTGCCTTTGTCCATGTCTTGAGGGGTTCTTCCTGTTTGCCTGTAGCAGTCACAGTGTTTCAGGTCAGAGTTTAATCCAGAGTTTCTGTCTTTCTGTCTAGTTTGAGTCTTGTACATGTCAAGCACCACTTGGTGAGGAAGCTTTCATTTCTCCATTTATGTATCTTGGCACCTTTGTTGAGAAATAGTTGTATTTATTTGTCTTATTTCTTGGGTTCTCTGTTCTGTTTCATTGTTCTCTCTTCCCCTCCTTTCTTCTCTCCTTTCTCTGTTTGTCTCTTTCTCTTGGTTTCTTTCCCTCTCCTCGCCTATCTTACCCCCCCTTCTCTCTCTCTCTCTCTCTCTCTCTCTCTCTCTCTCTCTCTCTCCATCTGGATGTCAATACAGGCTGTAGTATAATTTCAATTTAGGGATTGTGTTGCCTCCAGCATTGTACTTGTTTAATCAGGATTGATATTATTATTTGTTCGTGATTTTTGTACTTTCATCTAGACTTTTTTATAGTTCTTTTTAGTTTTGTGAATGATGCCACTGAAATTTTGATGGGGATGGCATTGAACCTATACATCATTTTAGGTAACATGGCAACTTTATCAACATACCCACGGGCTTGAGAAGTCTTTCCATCTTTTAGCCTTTCCTTAAATTTATTTTTCAGACTTTTACAGCTTTCATGGTAGAGCTCTGTTCTTTATTTGGTGAGGTTTATTCCCAGGTGTATATGGAGGCCATTGAAGTGAAATTGTTCCCTTGACTTCAATTTCACTCTGTTATCGGCGTGTAGCAGAGCTACTTATTCTGAATTAGGATTTCGGGCATTGCTACTTCCTTAAAGTCACATTAAATGTGTGAAGTTAGAGGACAGCTTGTGGGAGTTGGCTCTCTCCTTTCACCACAATGACCTTGTATTAGTTACGTCATGCTGCAGTCCCAGAAAGAACCCAGCATGAGCATGGCTTGCGGTCATTTTACTGTGTTGTTAAGTTAGGCTTCCAGATGTTGAGAAGTTTGGTTCCTCTGTTGTTTTCTTACTCTGTGTTGCTATCCAGGTGATACTGGATCACAGAACACATTGGCATGGGCACTTCCCTTTCTAGTTTATGTAGCAATTTAAGAGGCACTGATGGTAGCTCTCCCAAGATCTGGGAGAATTCAACCATGGGTGCAGTGAGTCTTGGCTTTTCTTTGCCGAGAGACTTTTTGTTATCGCTTTACCCTCGTTGCTTGTCATCTATCTGTTTACGTTGTTTTAAGTGCCCATTATGTGTCCACAAACTTAACCATTCTTTTTAGATTTTCTAATTTATTGGTCTATAAATTAGATCCATTGACTGAATTCTACTGTGAGGCGCAATCTGTCCTGAAAATCGAAATAAACATCTTTTTAAGCATTTACTTGTGAGTGTGTGTACAAACGCAGTGTACATATGCTATGGAGTATGTGTGAAGGTCAGAGGACAATGGCGGGTTCTGCCAGGAGATTGAAATGAGGTCATCAGACTTGGCAGCAAGCATCTTTACCCCTTGACCATCTTGCTGGCCCTGAGACAAACATCTTTTGGGGTTTGTTATTTTGTAGTTGTTGTTGTTGTTTGTCTTGGTTTGCTTTTTTTGTTGGTTTTTTTTTTTTTTTTTGAGTCAAGTTTCTCTGTGTAGCTCTGGCTGTCCTGGAACTCGCTTTGTAGACCAGACTGGCCTCAAAATCACAGAGATTCCCCTGTTCTGCCTCCCGAATGCTGGGATTAAAGGTTTCTGCCACCACCAGCCTGCTGACAAACATCTTAAATAAGCGATTAGTAAGCAAAATCCAAGGGTGGGTGGAAAGCACGCAGCATGTCATGGTACAGTTCCGTGCAGAAGGGCAAGGCCTGCTTTAACCTCAATCAACTTCAAGCGCAGGAAAGGGTTAGGGAAGTAGCTGGTCATTTAAAAGATGCCTTAACCTTCACCTTAACCTTCAAATCCTCTTCAGGACTTGAAAGCAACCGAGAATACAGAGCAACTTCTGTAACCCACTGAATGTTTCGACAGGAGACAAAACAGCCTGTTTTCTCTCATATGACAGTCTACACTTAGCAGTATGAATACATAGTATGGGATCCGTGGTTGAATTCTATCAGATCTGGAAAGAACCAGCATCAGTGTTCCTTGAACTGTTACGTAAACTCCTCCGAAGTTCACTCTCATTTCTAGCCATGACCTTTTAAACTCCTCTGGTTTGTTCATTTAGGTCTCTTTCTCTTTTTTATATTTATTTATTTATTATGCATACAATATTCTGTCTGTGTGTATGTCTGCAGGACAGAAGAGGGCACCAGACCTCATTACAGATGGTTGTGCGCCACCATGAGATTGCTGGGAATTGAACTCAGGACCTTTGGAAGAGCAGGCAATGCTCTTAACTGCTGAGCCATTTCTCCAGTCCCATAGGTTTCTTTCATTTGGTTATCTTGGCTCATGGTTTGTCCATCTTATCTTTTCATAAAACTGTTTATTTCACTCATCTTTGCATGTTTTTAAGTCATTAATCTCTGCTTTGTTATTATTTCTTTCCTTCTCTTTTCATGTTTGACTTTTTTATAATTTGTCTAAGACTGGGGATCATCACTAGATTTATTGAAATCTCTCTGGGTTTCATTTTGTGGGGACTCAGGCCTGCATGCTTTTCTCTTTAGAACTGCCTCCGCTGCACCCTGAACATTGGGTTTTCATCATCACCAAACCATAGGGATTTAAAACATCCACTTCCTGCTTTCTTTGCTGATCTGATAAATCGTCAGAAATCTAGTATGTGATCTCTGTTGGCTGGTGTAATTTCAATAGTTCCTTTGTTTGTGCTTTCCTGAGCTTATACCATTATCATTTAATGAGATGCAAGTTTTTAGAGCTAGTAATACTTAGTTTATGAGATAAAATGTCAGTCATCCATTTTGCAGATGGCTCCCTGGGCTGATGGGGAAAGTGTGTACTCGTAGCTGTTGGCTATTTGGTAGAGTCTGGTGAATGGAGCAGCTTTCTTCTGATGTGTGGCGATTTCCTTGCCTGGATGATCTATCAGTTGCTGAGAATGTGGTGTTGAAATCATTCCTTCTTCTTGTATTCAGATCTCCCTGATCCTTCCCATTCAGTACCTCTTGATCTATGAAATTGATTGTACCCATGTAGGAAGAGCTTTTACAGAAAATATCTCTTGTCTCAAGAAGTGGAACTTTTTCCGAATCTTGGAACCAAGTTAATACTACATCTTGTGATTATTTAAAACTACATATGTGACCTGCTATTCTAATGTGAAGTCAGGCTCCTTCACTTGATTTTAAGAAAGCAATGTAACCAATATTACTAAGCCCTGGTTTCCCTATGCAATCAGCTTTTACTACCTAAGCTAAATGCATAGTTTTAATATTAAAGTATGTATGCGTTCGTGCCACCAACCAAGGATAGCGTGTGTGTGTATTGTGGGAATCGTGCTGAAAGCAGCTCACCGGTTAAAAGCAAGCTTACATGACAAATGTCCCATAAACGTAGGAAGCAGCATAAGGATCTGGGTTGATAACATCTCTCTGCAGTGTTGAATGTTATTACGGGTCAACTAGGGTCAGTAAAGTAACTTCTTCCCTTGCAAAACTCGGTTAAAGATTACTGTAGAAAAGAATTCCTCATTCCTTCTCCATACCGTGTTTTCTGTGCTATTAAATAAGTACAGAGCCATGCTCTTTGTTAGGGACAGTCAAACTCCATACACACGGCAGACAAACAACAGACAGGCCCCACGTCAGAAACTACAGACAGATAACAGACCCGGGGAGAGAAGTGGGGAACTCAAATCTGGGCTCACTATTGGTCTAAACTACTTCAAGAAGTCTCTTGTTTAATAGCCCAATGCAGTACGGACAAACTCCGCCATTTGCTGTGTGTCTTTACAGTTGTTACATCCTTTGACGAATTGTTCTTTTTATTAAGGGGCAGTGGCCGTCCTCATTTCTCCTTACAGTTTTCATCTTGAAGTCAGCTTTTTCAGCTGAGAGTTTGGCCGCTCTTGTTTGTACATAGATTCTGTTTGCCTGGGAACACAATATTCCATACTTTGACTTTTCGTTTTTTTAATCTTTTTACGACAGTGAGGTGAGTTTCTTGGAGACAGGACACAGTTGAATCTTGGTTTGTTTGTTTTTAAACATTTCTCAATTCTACATATTTTTTGGTGTTTGCACATTTTCATGCGGGTGTGTTCACTTATGCATGCCTGTGCATGTAAAGGCCAGGGAATGACGTCAGGTATCTTCTTCCAGTGCCTTCCACCCTAGTTTTTAAAGGTAGAGTCTCTCAGTGGACGTGGACCTCACTGGTCAGGCTAGACCAACCAGCCAGCAAGCCCCAGGGACTGTCCTGTTTCTGTCATTCTGACTTCCGGTGCTGGGTTACAGATTAGTGTCTGTGTCTGACCCTTCCTAAGGTGTGCCTGAAGGTTGAGCAGGCGCTTTACAGTCAAGTCGACTCCCCAGCCCTCAGGCTGCGTATTTTCTACGTAGTTAGCGATTATATTTAGAGCGATCACTGCAAGGTAAGTACCACTTTCTTCCTTGTTCTTCGTGAGTTCGCTCAGGTAAAAACGTTTGCCTCTTTTCAAATTGCTGTTTGTCTTTCTACCCTTGTAGTGATTTTTTTTTCTTCCCCACGCTCTCACGCTGCTGTGGATCTTCATCTTCTGTGTGTAATATTCTTTCTTTAGTGTTTTCTTTCAGGATGGCGGAGTGGCGGTGGATCGTTTTAGTTCAAGCTGCTCCTGAAAGAACTTCATTTCTCCTCGAATTTCAAAGGAGAAATCTATCTACTGAACGTAGTAAGCTGGGTTGAAAACTACTGACTTTCAGAGTTTAAAATGTATCAGCCTGTGGTAATCGTCCATTCGAGATCGTGCGAAGAAAGTCTTCCTTATCCCCGCGGCTTTGCCTTTCTTCCTAACGCGGTGCTTCTGTCCTGAGACTTCCAGTATTTGTTCTTTGTTCCGCTCCCTCCACAGTAGAACCATTACATGACAGGGAGCGGTGCATCTCTGATCACATTTAATTGCAATTTCTCCTTTCCTTGCATAGGTATATTTTTCCTAGATTCGGGGAATTTTCTGCTGGATTTCCATGACTTTATGCGGTTACACTGTAACTTGGTTCCTTCTTTTAAGCCGAAATTTTAGAGAATTGGTCTCTTCAACATGTCCCAGTGTTCCTGAAAGTTGTGGTCATGATTGCTGTGGGTTTTTTTTCTGTAGTTTGTTTTCTGTTTTCTGCTATGTGAAAGTAATAATTCCTCAAGCTTGTCTTTAATTCCTGATTATTTTTTCTTTTTTGCTTAGTCTACAGCAGTGGTTCTCAACCTTCCTAACTCTGTGACCCGTTAATACAGTTCCTAATGTGTGGTGACCCCCAACAATAAAGTTATCTTCATTGCTACTTCATTACTGTTAATTGTGCTACTGATAAGAATCATAATGCAAATATTTGTGTTTTCCAGTGGTCTTAGGAGACTCCCGTGGAAGAGTGGTTCAGGTCGCGATCCGCAGCCTGAGAAACACTGCTCTAGACACTTCCTCTTTTGTGTGATGCATTTTTTTTCAGTGTTTCTGCTCGATTTGATCTCCCCGGGATCTCTATTTTAATTGCCATTTTTTTCCCATCTACTTCACGAATCTACTTCTTTCTTCAGCTTCTTATTTGCTTCTTTAAGCTTAGGGATAATTTCTAAAACTGTACCATTGAATTCTTTGTCATTTCAAACATTTTGGTATTTTCAGATTTGGCCACATTTGCTTTTTCACAATTCTCGGATTTCTTTGTTTTCCTGACTCTTCTTAGTGTGGAATAACCTGGAGGAAACTTTTTAGCCCACCTTATCCCAGAAGCCTTTTAAATAAATATAATGAAATGCTTATAATGTATATATTATATATTCCTTTTTTCTTTTTTCTTTTTTTCTTCTCTCCCTTGTTCTTCTTCTTCTTCTTCTTCTTCTTCTTCTTCTTCTTCTTCTTCTT